ACTTTATTTCAGCGTCCACTTAGGTTTATAACACTGTAAATCCAAACTACACACTCTGTGGACTCATTACATACACAGCCACTACATTCTCTCCAATGAACGGCTCTTTGTTTCGTGTCTTTCAAAGACAGCGTCGATGCATTCTCTACTGTAAACAGTATTAAACAACTATCAATATTACTATTTAGACTTTTTTCTTTTACGAATATACATAATATGATAATTCTTCAGATAAAAAGTTAAAGATACAGAAATAATTTAAATATGAAAGAATGTTATAAGAGTGCCCTCAACTGGCCTATAATGATCAAATAGACCGTGTTGTATCTGCGGAAGGAGTTAAGAATATCTGGAAGCAGAGTATTGGGGTATGAATGTAATTGAGGCAAAAGATATATCTCAGAATAAAGGCATTTGGTTTATTCTGCTTAAAAAAGTTATTGTAAAGATAAATAAAATTGAATCAAACATCTAAATTTGCACTATCTTTTTGAACTGGTATATTATACTCAGAATTTTTATGAACGATAATAAATACATTTTTAAATAAAGCATTTTATGCATAACATTGCGAACTATTTCCTTCACTATCATTTTTTTTTATTCGTTTTCTATTTAAATTTAGTAGTTTAAATTACTTGTTCCCTGCAATTCCTTTAGGTTATTTGAGTTATTTCCTTAGTACAGCCGAGAGTTCATTTACGATGTTAACAGATAATGTAGTGTTGGTGTTTCTCGTTTGAAATTTATTGCGCTGTAAATCCGTAGTGCGCCGCCGAGCGACGCGACACGCGACGCGGCGGTGACTTGCAATCCGTCCCTCCAAGGATCGACGCTTTTAAATTTGCTACGTGCACGCCTCCAAAAGGGACATTAATTAATTTAGCTGCATCACTCGTGTGTTCAATTTGAGTGTGACTGTGTTGTTTACAACTTTTTGCGGAGGGCCTTCATCCCGTTTAGTTCGTTTTTGGAACTCATTTCGAAAATTATTTCTACTTGATAGGAATATAACTTTGATTACATAGTAAATATTGATTTGGCACGTGGATATATTAATAATAATTACCGCCATATGTAGAACTAGAAAAATGTAGAATAAAATTTATATATAGAATAATCTATAAATTTTATTCCACATACACTACCGTATACTGTCTATGTATTCAAAATAATATATACGGATTGGCAACTAAACAATATTTACCACTTGTTTTTTGTTGAATTTACCACGAACTAATAAGCCCACTATTGTTACCGCCATTAGTTACTAGACTCGTATACCCTCCCCTACGCTTTGTGCTGAAATCCAAACCGTGCTCCGATTGCCGATGACTTGCAGTTTGTTGTAGCGAGTTAATTGTGTCCGCCCGCCGCGCGCCACTTCGGTACCCACGAAGAGCTACGAACTTTAAATGTACCAAAACCACCTAATGTACTGCTGCTACGAGCTGACATTTATTAATAGCTTACTTATTCAAGTTTACGAACTACCTCTTATCGACTTAATTAACTCACATAAATACCTCCATCATAAAAGCAATTACTATGTATATTTTTTTAAAGTTTTTACAAGAACCGTTATTGCGAAAACTAGGACGCCGAAGTAGGCACGTTTTCAGAGGTATCTCTCGGTATAAAATGTTACGATTAATTTTCATGCATATATGGCATTGAACGGCCACCACATAACTGCAAACTCGCCCGCACTGTTAGTAACTTGTTAACGATACTCGGAAAAAACGATGAGAAAAAGTGGGAGGCATGTTTTATTAATTCTCGGTATACACGGCGCGGGCGCGGAATGAAGCCGACCGCCATTTTTCTGCGGACGAGATTTAAATATGGAATTCCGGTGTGCGAGCGGGAGAGGCGCGTGCCATTGACCTTGTCCCAGGGCCGCGCACGCGCCCGCCCGCCCGCCTGCGCCCGCGACTCTCCGTAGCACAACATTGCACTTCAATGTTGCTATTTAAACGCATTATTGCATTCTATTATTTTAATTGTACTCATAATATCTTTTCTGTTACTAATTTTACAGTTTCAAATACTGTAAAATAAAAAAACCACGCAAGCAATACTATAGTTACTTCGATTATCATTTACTCTGAGATAAAATGGATTCAAAGTGCAAAATAATACCGGTATTACTATTTATGTAAAACAAAAGAAAATTATATCTTTAGTTGTGTTTAAAAAATGTCAAAGATAATGAAATCACTTTATTTTGGGCTAAATGCATAATTAAGTATTTATTAGTTTAAAATTTAAAATGTAAATGTCAATAAATTTGTATACACTTAATTACAATGTTTACGTTTCCGTTATTACAGTTAAGATTATGTTACATTTCATAATATATTTAGCATACTATACCATATCAGTCATTAACTGTTGAACATAACCTCTCCATTGGGAGTTTTGCCAGTAGTTGCCATACTTGGCAGGTGGGATGGCAACCGCAGTCAGGGTTTGGTAACGTTTTAAGAGAGACGTTGCTGCCCATCTCTTGACGATAAATTCCCCTAATCGCCTCTTACCACGAAAAAGGAAGGAGGCGCATTCTTACTATACCTAAAATACTATATAATTTATATATAGTTAATAGAAAAATGCGTAACGTGATATCTTTAGGCAATAACTGGCATAATTTAATTTGAGTTTTTTTTTTATTTTTATCATCAAAACTTGAATTTAATACAGTATACAATATATACTACTAATATAGTATATAATATATACTGTATAATACTATATATAATCTACTCTCTATATATCATTAAATAATATAATTATATGTTGTATATAAGAAATAACCAACATCTATTGGTGTCAAACATCTATTTTCTATTACATATGTCATTAAAACTCAAATTAATTAAATTTTGTATGCAAATTAATTATGTTTGGTATTATTTTACTTAGTTTCTTATTATAATTGATATTAATAGTACTACTATGTGTGACCACTAATCTTTTGTCTATCCGATCCACCCCCGTTAGCAAAGTCCCTACTACCTTTATTAAAGTAAACCCGCTACATTTCCTAATTGTGATTACCCTTCTAGCATTAGGGTATCTACACATATGCTGCCAAGCGTATATTGATTTCGACTCTAAACATAGAATCCTTAGATAGTAAATTAATCGGAGCGTGAAAAACCACATTAAACGACCAGGCTTTGATTAAACTGACAATCGTAGTCTTAAGTATGTGTTTAGTAGTACACATGCAATTTTTTTCTGTCCGGTACAGAATTAATGACATATTTCTCAAGAATGGAAAACTCATGGGAAATCTTTCATTTTCATCAATGTTAGTAAAAACATTTATAATGTTGATGATAAGGAATTTCTCATGAAATCTTTTTTAAGACCTTAACGGGGCTAACACAGAAGTGTAGTTTTCAAATAAAAACACATAATGAAGTACATAGTGAAATTATTGAATCGCTAACTGGTAGGTTAGGTATAGTAAGAAAATTTTGTATGCTACATCAAGTAACATTCCACATAACGGTGATAACCTAATTAGAAGTGGTTCTATGCTTGTTATATTATAATAACCTGTATCCGTCAGTCTTCTTTACGTACACATTTCACCGTTATCCGTTTAGTTGTTCGTGACGTAGTCACTCACAAGTTTACAACCATAGTAGTTGTAAATACTCGTATGTCGTTGCTAATTGTTGAAAGTACAACAGTACATATAGTAGACTTGTTGTCTTCTTTGATTATCATAATTTTCTTATCTCTTTAATCATAATTACAAAACCTTCCAATATATGTGCCAATAAGAACAAGTGCTCACAACGGTTACAAGGTGCAATAAAACTAAGAATATACATAATTTAAGGTTGTGTTCCAGAAAAAAAAAAACCAACTTAAATTGTGACAAAACCAATTATTTTTATTTAATAACTAAACTACTGGAGAGATTTTAATACAATTTCTATGGGACGAATGTGTACGAATTTCGTTACAGTTGAAAAAAATATTCAAATCGGTTTACAACTGACGGAATTATGAGGTAACAAAATTATATAATTCAACTGAATTAAGAATTATATATAGTTGAAAATATTATGAAATGCCGAAAAAGCGAAAAGGGAAAAAGGAAATTGAGATGCTCACGTATTATCTATTGTACATATTATAACTATTATCCCATAATTGAAATTTACTATTATTTTATAGTATCAAATTATTAATGAAATTATTCAGAAATTATAATTATTTTTGTATTTTCCATGGCTTTTTTTATAAAATGTGTCAGTCAGGAAATGTAATATACAATATGTATATAAATCAATTGCAATGCCTATCAATCGGGAAATGCAAACCGAGGTTATTGTATGTATGTAGAATGATAGCATATTCTAACGCATAATATTGTTATAATATCACACTGATATAAAAAAAATCTAATTCTGTACCAACTATGCATTTATCTTCCAATTACTTTCAATCGACTTCAAAAACTGTTTGTTACATCATAACACCGTCAGTTCTAAACTGATTTGGAAAATTCTTTATATACAAATATATATATATAACAGATTTTTTTTTTGTAATTCTGGGTCGCGTAAATGATAGAGCGATCCGTCCTCGCCATTTGGATACGGGCGACGAGGCATCTCGAAATATGGGAGGTGGACTCATAAATGTATGTACACATAGGATATGTACTTACAGTTTAGTCCCACAGAGATTTTATCAAAATCGGTTTAGTAGTTTAGTTTTTAAATTAAAATAATTGATTTTGACACAATTGAAGTCGGTTCTTTTGTGGGACACAATCTTTAATTATTCACGTACAGCCGTGTTTAGAATGTCATTGGAATCTAAATATAGTGAGTACTTTACGTAACGTAGCGGAACCTATTAAACCCGTACTCATCATAATTTATAGATACTTATTTAGCTTTTTGACTTAATTTTAAATAATACACTTTTATGAAAGTTAAATAAATATTTATTATAATTATAATACTGCGGGTTATTATTTTCTCCATATGTGGTGAATATTAAGAAATTGTTACCATACTGTCCAAGCGAGACTTGGCAGGTATAAATTATAATTCGCGGTTTCATTTTTTCACACAGTTTATAGTGCTCTGTTATTCTCAATAATTAGTTGCTTCGATGTCCTGTGAAAGGAATAAAGTAGTAATGCGTATTCTTAATAATTATTCTTACTCCACCATCCACACAGACCACAAACCAATATTGTGGCGAAAAGAAATTGTTAGTAATAAGGATTTCAATCAAAATTGCTAGCAATGTACCCCATGAGATTATTCTTCACGCAGCCCCTCCTGGAATAAAAATCCATGCATAAAAACTTGGTGTTACTACCCAAATATTATAAAACTGGAGGTTAAGTTACGTGTAGATATCATCGTCAATTCGTCATGTCTATTTTTAAAGCAGCTATATGTACGTTGTTTTGCTCCGAATGGAAGGATTATCAATGCAGAGGCATTTAACACTTTAGTCATTATGAATTCAGAGTACATGTTATAGTATACTTCTATTCACAACATCACTAACAGGAGGGGAGGGATTGTTAGTAATGTGGAGTACCAGTCCTATTGCTAGTAATATACCCTGTCAGGTCGACCTCCACGTGGTCTCCCCCCACCTTCCCGTAGAAACCATCGTACTGATTTCCATGTATCATCACGATTGGCTAACTGACCTTTTCGTTCTTACCTATCATTCCTTACTGGTGCCCCGCCAGCGCATACCGTTAGCACAAGCGGGGTTGCCATTCTATTATTATCCATTAAAAAACATAGTACTATGAACATTAGATTCTGTTATATCCATAGTTAAAAGTATTCATATCTACAATCGACCGATAGCGGTCTTAATCTGATGGACCTTTGAATTATTATTATTCTAAATACTTAAAAAATTGCATACTACAATAACACGAATTGCCCTTGACTAATTTTTAACCAATGGAGTGAACATTTTTAAATTCATGACAAAAGAATTCGCAGGTGGAGCTGCGCTATCGTTATATTCTGGTGGAAAAATAGTGAGGGAAAGGTAAAGATGAAAGTAGACCAGTTGATATATCGTGACGAATGCATCAAGATATAACCACGATGGTTTGAAGGATCGCGTGAAGCTTGATCTAACAGGGTATATTTTTAGCAAAGAGGTTACTACACCCTGTTGCCAACAATCTCTTCTTCCCTGAAGTGAAGGTCGGCAAATATATTTAACAATCACAATATCTACATGAATTTGATTTAACACAATTAAACAGTACGATGACTAAGTAACCTTAGTGTGGAGCCAGAATCGAAAGCTCGCTCATTAGGGGCGCGTGAGTTGCATCACAAACAGTCGATCCTCGGGCGTCGTTGTTACACGTACTGAGTACTTAATTAGGGAAATTGTTCACTGTTTACATAGGTATCAGCGACGGGAAACTTGTTTAAACCATAAAGTATATAAAACCGCTGTGAACGGTATGCTGCGGTCCCATCGCTTGTAAAGTGACAGCGCTAAAATTATATTATTAACCAGATGTTAAATATTAAAGTAAATATTATGTACATTATGTACATATACTGCAAACAATATTAATATCATTATATATATATATATATATATATATATATATATATATATATATATATATATATATATATATATTATATATAAGTTTATACTAGATCCTGTACCCATTTCAAAAGTATGTAATTGTCTTTTATACACTTAAAATTTACAAAAATCATACATACTAGTACTATTGAAGATCAGTGTAAGCTGTTGACACTCGTTTAGTGCAATAAATATTGGTCTACCTGTGTAGAATGATAAAAATATTTTTTGTTACCAAATCATTTCATATTGTATTGTGATTCTACAAATATTGCGAATTTTTTTGCACTCGGAAACGAACACGTGGCACCCCTGGAACCGTTGGCGTCCAAACGTTACGGTAATTTAGCACCAGCTGAGTTGTATTTTGCTACCCCTAAGGTAAAAGGAATGAAGACAAACATTTCAACTTATTATTATTACAAGTATGATAAATCCACTTGTAACTTCTATTTCTATATTAATGGATTAAACCTAATCCTAAACCGATCATTGTATTTTATCTCTTACATTTAACGACACATCAATCGATCTATAAAGTATCGAATATTGTAATCTAAAAAGGTAATCATAAAATTGAGAAATCAGATCGGCAATATAAAGAATGTACACATTTCTTGGAAGATGGACCACCGCAACAGCCTCTAATTATGGCTTTAGTATTGTTATCTGACGCTGTCACTCAGCTAGCTATCACCATATCTTATTGCGATTGTACGCGAGGTATCATTTTTAAGTATTTGATGTGCTATGGTTAGTTACTTTAATTTTTATTTTTAAGCATTTCGTTATATATAATTTTGTTTGTTCGAATTGAATTCTTGTTTTCAAACTTTTAGTTGATTACTTAATTAGTTTCAGTTATTTACTTGGATTTTTTACGACAATACTTATTGGAATTGAGTATGATATTTTACATTAGGTATTGATAATTTTTTATTACATTTTTTATTTTTACATTTTATATTACATTCAAACTTATTAATTTCTCTAACATCATGACAGCAAACAAATTTCATCAAACATCTATTATTTTTAGGAAAAAATAATCTTGGAAAAACAACTTTAAATTAATAGAATCAATTTGTTAGAGGCCATCAAATCTGAACTGTAGATCAAAAGAGGATGAACTTTTGAAAAGTAAAAAAATAGAATGACTCGCATTATTAGATACGCCGGTCGATGTCATGATGAATGCGCAATGTTGGTTTTTGGTGCTCTATATAAATATAATAGTACTATGGTTGAAATTTGAAAATAAAAATTAGCAAGAATAATTAGCGTTATTGTAGATTTAATTGATTCATACCGAATCCCTTTTTTTAATACTGCAGTGTTTTATTTGTATGAATAACACACAGTTAAGACATTAATGTATAAACAAAGATACTAAAAAAGTTATTTATTATAAAAAAATATATAATGTTCAAAATACGCAAAATACATTCGTAATAAAATTTAACATTACTAAGCACAATATTGTACAGTAATGAAATTAATTTATAATAAAGACTTTATATCTACCTATTATACTACTTCGGCATTCTTCAGTTGAAATTCAATTCTTAGATATATAATATAATAGTTCTGTTCGTACGTACGCCCGCTGTCATGACCCGTCCTTTGAAGCTCTCACAAATACTAAAATGTACTGCAGTAAAGGGACCCTTTCTTCATTTAATCAGTACAGCTCTTAAGGTAAACCTATTTCCCAGATTAAGGTAGTTATAATAAAAAATAAGATGTGTTTACAAATTTTACGGTTATCTCCTTAGAAAGAAAACAAGGATTGTGTGTCCGTTTTTATCTCATTGCAAAAAGGTAGGTACCTATATACTGTGTTCTTAACAAGAAGTAATAGCAAGTAAATAAATTAAGTTAAATTTCTAAATCAACCCTTACTGCTAGGTATTATAAATGTATATATGTGCTATATGGAATTTAGAAGGATATAGACTACATTTATTCCGATTAACACATCCCAGTCACGCGGACGAAGTCGCGGGCAAAAGCTAGTGTGTTAATAAAACACCTCAATATTCCTATATCTATTAAAAAAAAATAACAAGCTATTTCTCCAACAAAGAAAAGATTGTTGCACAAATAGTGTTATTATTATATGCAATTAACTCAGTGTTGAATATTCATTGGCGTTTATTGATTTTTCATCAGCTCCCTGCCATTGGCGCTACACCGCATGCTCAAGCGCAGAATTTACTAGCATAGGGCTGCCATAGTTATTTAAAATTAAATCGAAAGCTTGTCCCGGTGATCCATGAAAAAAAATGGTTGAAATTAATCTTTTTTTTCGTTTGATATTTATTTAAGTAATTTATTTGCGTTCTATTTATAAATATGATAAACATGACAATGATAAAATGGGTATTTCTACCAGAATTTGCTACAATACGATTTACGAGTGAATTTTCTACTAACATTTGTTGTTGAGTTTCCCTTGGGACTTAACTTGGAACGGTCTAAAAACTGGGACAAAGCCGGGAAAACTCGGGCGAATGGCAACCCTAAGCGCAGTTATCTTTCACATAAATTATTTATAGGCTTACGTATACTCCCCCGATGAACGCCCGCAGCCGGCGCACGCACATGCCCGTATGTGCACAATATAACAAATACAACAATTTGATAGCTCTGATTGAATTGTCTGATTTATCTATTGTCATATATCTTGTCTATACTTTACGACTTTGAATTAGTAGTGTTAAAAGCATAATTATTTTTACGATGTAGACTCGTACACGTTTTAATAGTCACTTTGTTTGAGTACTTTTTTTATGCTAAAAAATTTACGCTGTATTTTATATAAAAGAAAAAAAATTAAATATCTCAATTAATTTGTTTTGTAAATATATTAATAAGATTTTTTTTTTGTATTAATTTAAGAAGTATCAGATATGCCATATTGTCTATTTAACTGATTTATATTTACTTAAATACTTTTTAAGTATGACAAAATATTGAAAATTTATATTTGAATATAGTTCTTATTATAATAATGCAAAAGCATGTACAATCTGCATTCTGTATAATTAAGAGAAGCTAAACGGCGTCATATTTTTGTAAATGAGATAAAAGAAACAAGCACTAGATCGATGAATGACTATACTTTTTTTTGCATTAGATAACATTAAGAATTAAAGAACATAAACAAAAGATATAACGGATGCACTTGCATAAGTACCTACAACAAGTCGGTTTTATTGCTGAAAGCAATCTTTTCAAGAGAATCTTAGAGTAACGGATTTAATTGTTGAACAAGTAGGTATACAAATTGAGATAGTTCGAAATAATAGTTTACAAGACTAAATAAAATAATTATATGTATTAATAGATATTAATTTAAGAAAACAAAGATGAGAAAACATTCTCTATAGACACCGTATTTATACTCATCAAAATCAATTAAAACTCAACATAACTTTGAAGTTTTATCAGGCATGCATAACGTAGGTAGACAATAATAATAACTCGATACGATATTGGACTTGGAGTTGGTACATAATTAATATATACATACTTCAAAAGTTCAGTGCCATATGAACCTTGTCAGTGGGTGAGGTGATACAGAGATAAAGTACATTGTTTTAAATAATAAACTTAAAGTAAATTACTTTTAGGATTGCATAGTTTAAAATTTGAATGTGATAACTTTACAGGATCACTTTTTATCGTCTTTCTGGAAATACAAAATATAATTTCCATAGTACCATATTTTATTAACCTTGTCAGTGTAAGTGTGAGGTGATACAGAGATAAAGTACATTGTTTTAAATAATAAACTTAAAGTAAATTACTTTTAGGATTGCATAGTTTAAAATTTGAATGTGATAACTTTACAGGATCACTTTTTATCGTCTTTCTGGACTTAATACAAAATATAATTTCCATAGGTACAAATATATTTTATTTTAAACTGATTTAGGATCAAATTTTTCAGAAAGTAAGTGTTAAGCTATTTCAAAAAAGGTGCTTGTCTATTTTGAAATGATTTTAATAAATCTTTTGCAATCAATGCCACTCCCGTGTTAATCTCACATTAATTTCTTCACCCTCGAATAACTTTTTTCATAAAATCTTAAATTATCAATGTTTACTATACTTCTTGTAAAAAGTTGTTCAATTTGATGATAAAATGAAAGTAATTAATTTTCAGTGTTTTCATGTTGCAGTTGATCAACATGTTGGCCTTTTGCTTCCCGTAGATACTTTAAAATTTCTTCATAACACCTCGTTCGCACACATGGCCGTATATATTTAAATTCTTGAGCCACTAACAGTCCGAAATACTCATTTCTTTTATCCTCTTCTCCATAAATTAAGCATTTAGAACATAGTCTATCGTTGGGTTTTTACTTACAATACTCCGGCCATTACAACTTGTGTAATAAAATCGCCCTGTAAATACGCGCATAATGCACATGCAAAGCAGTGTCGGTTCTGTATGAGGACGACCGTGACGGGCTGCTACTTGAGATGCACGTGAGGTGATGTGACGTGAGGACGTGTGGCCGGCGCGTGCGCCGTATACAGCGACAGTTCCGGTGTATCGCCCGGGGCCCACAACCCGTTCCGAGACTGATGACCGCAAGATAACGGAACGTAATACCACTAGAGAGGCCCGCCCGGCCTGAGCCCTGCTTACACTCCGCCTTGGGAACCGCCATTCACTTAAAACCCTTACTAACGCATGTGACGTTAACGTAAACGCCGTATTGGGGCTCATTACGAACATGTTTCGTACGATAATGACACCGATTCGTGTCATGGGAGTAGAACAAGAATAAACATCACTTCATGGCCTCTAAGCGGTCGTTGTAAATGAGAAAAGAGTGAGAGATACGGAGGCCTAAAGTGGCCACTTTGGTGATTATTTACAATTTGT